CATCTGAAATCTCCGAGACCAAGATAATGGATTCTTTGCCAGAGACAAAGGCTCTTCGAGATCCCCTTCTAGAGAGTTCTCTGTTTAGAAAAATAAGACTTGAAAGGCAAACTTTAGAATTCAGGGTTGAACCACTGTCGGCTCGGCTTGAGAGTTATAAATGGAGGGAAGGAGAGTCTCCTTCAAGGTGGGCTCATTCCTTCTTGGTGTGTTCCAGGACTCGGTAGGGAACCCCAGAGGCACCCCCGGAGCTGTGTTCCTCTTGCATGACTGGCAGTGTGGCAGGAGTGTAGATCTCAGAAACGTTGTCGTTGTTTTCCAGGGCCCCATAGGAAAAAGAAGCTTTGAGGTCAGGCTGAACCGTCATTCCTTTGTCATGCATGTTTTGCATACCTGAAATGAAATCCATTTTCTCCAAATCATTATGGGGCAAAGGGGCCAAAGCAGACTGCATTTTCCTCTACCCCACCACAGCCTAATTACAGCGCTCGGGCGCTAATCACGTGCCCTGCCCATCTCCTGAATGCTTTCGATTGAAAAAAGAACACCCATAAGTATATGCTAGCAATATTATGGTTGCCAAGCAACAAGGGATGAATCTTCAGGAAATATGCACACAGACCAGCCACTGTCAAGAGAAGCATGGGTTGGCGAAGAATGAGGTGGGAATGTGTGGTTGGGCCCCACGGGGAGCAGAACCAGCACTGTGCTTTGAACGTGGTAGATGCCAATACTCGCCTGCTGAATTAAATCAGGATCATTATCCCCTCGAGAAAAGAGGGTAACCTTCGTGTCATGGACATGTGGTGGTGGCAGATGCATTGTGACACTCAGAGGGAGAGTTTTGACCTTTAACACTGAACATCGCGGATCCGCAGAGAGGGGAGGTGTGATTCTCCCTGTTGCTTCTGGGCACGTGTTGCTGCTGGGTTTCTACTTACAGTTGAGGAGATCTACCATGGTCGGAGTGCCCCTGTCTGAGGCTCATGTGCCAGGGAGCTGTTTCTTTTCAGCCAGGGAGCACCGAGGTCCAGATGTGAGTGCCAGGCCAGCTCCCAGCTCTCAGGGCTTTTTCGGTTTTCATTTTTTAGAAGTCTTTCAGGTGCTAGAATTATTTAAGCCCTCTCTACATTGTGACATGCAGTGCATTTTTTGGAAATTGAATGCCTCTTGAACTGTAGCTACTGGTCTGTTGTGAAGCTATCAATCTAGATGGACCAAAAGCAAGGTTCTAGTGCTGACCAGGGAAACCAAGTAGCTAGGAAAGACACTCTATTGAAGCAGTTTTATTTTTTAATTTTAATTAGTTAATTAATTGATTTCTAAAGTTTTAAAAAAAAATCTATTTAAGTAATCTCTACACCTAATGTGGGGCTTGAACTCATGACCCCGAGATCAAGAGACCCATGTTCTTCCGACTGAGCCAGCCAAGCACCCCCTTCTTTTTAAGCAGTTTTATTTTTCATGTTCTACCTGGCATCAGGTCAAACAAGTGTTTGAAATTTTCGAAGATTTTTTTTTTTTTTAAAGCAAAAGGGACGTGAAACCAAATTTAACCAGGCATCTACCAAGTCCCAAACACTGTGCAAGGGGCCTTTAACATATTATCCCACTATCCCGAAAGAAGGAATCCCAATTTACAAGTGAGGGTCAGAGGCCTTGGGAGGTCCAAGGACATGCCCAAGGTCACGCTGCGGGTGGGTGGTAGAGCTGGGATTTGAATCCAGGCCACCTGAACTCCAAGCCCACGCTTTTCATTGTACAGAACACGTCTACTCCCAAGTGTCCTGACGTGCCACAGCAGTAGGGTGGGGTCTCCTTTTGTCAAGATCTGACTTCCCACCGGTCACAAGGTACAAAGACGAAGCCGAGAGCCACATCCACGAACAGACCACAGAATGTAGGTATCTAAGGTTACCTTAGGTTACCTTCTATTTTCCACTGGCACGTACATCTGTATATATGCATATACAAATACTTATGTAGATATATACACATACACAGTTTGTAAACACACAAACACACAGATACATATACATACTTGCACACACAGAGTTGACACCTCACCTATCTGGAATTCAGCTATCCAGCGCCCTCATCTATCCGGGACACAGCCGAGAAACAAGGAAGTAAGCAAAAAAGGCATCTGAGCAGCCAGATTAGATGTTTTAAAGGTCCATGCACTAAAGCTCATGCACTTAACTCCTAGGAGAAAGCTTAAGGCCCCGACTCAGAGCTTGTTTATTCTAATTTTATACACAGTTCAAACAAGTTGGGTCAAATGAGACGTTTGACCCGGAATTGCTATACACAGGTGGGCTGGTAAGAGCATGAATGACAGACGACAGCTTGATAGCAAGGGATGAGGAAATAATATAAAAGTAGACACAGAAACCTTGGGGCCATTTAAAGTAGGGGCACCTCAGTTGGCCCTGAGAGCACACCTGCATCCCAGAGGACTTCAGTAAGCAGTACTGTATGCCGACAGTGGGGTTATAGTTTGCTCATTAGGGTGTCTTAATGAAGGGTGGGGATTATGTTCTAGAGAGAGTTCCATCTTTAGATCTAAAATAAAAATTAATTTTGCCTTAAAGAGTGGAAGCTAGTGGTCACTGGCAACCTATAGAATTTAGGTCAGCAAACCTGGATTAACTTTCCTAATCTGGGTCCCTTTAGGCTGGGCAGGCACTCTCTGGTTCTCCACAAACTCCCCCCACTCCCTTCTGTGCAATGCTCTGCGGATTCACACCTTTGTTACCATCACGGACTAAAGGCATTTGAGCCTGTGCTTCTCAGTGTGAACCCCCAGCTCCTTGGGAAATTAGGCTTTCCAGAACAGTCCACTCTCTCGTGGCATCTAAGAAGTGAGGCGATAGTCTCTGAATTTCATCCATCCTATTTTCCTTCCTCTCTCCGGTCATTCCATTCCAACTCGACGAATGGATTTTTTTCCTTTTGCAGGCATGAAGCCTGACGTATAGATCATAATTACATCCAGTGCGAATCAGGACGGTCTTTCAGAGATCCCAAAATAGACATGGGGACCGGCAAGATGGGCTCAAAACCAACGGAGGTGCCTCAATCACTGCCTCCTATTTGGCACAGCGAAATTTAAAAAAAAAGAGAGGGAGGGAGGGAGGGAGGGAGAGAGAGAGACGGTCACACAATAACAGCACAGCACCTTCCCTGTACCAAACCCAGCAGCTAGGTGTCTCTTTTTGAATAGGAAGTAGCAGTCATTCTGTACGGATGGGCTGGCCAGGGGGACACATGGGGTTTTAACGTTACCTGGCATGGCATCCATAGAAATATAGGGCTCAAATGGAATGGCCTTCTTCCGGTTACGTGTGATTAAGAAGACACCCAAGAATGCAATGAGGCACCTGAGGAACAGGGATAAGGGAGGGAGAGAAAAAAGGCCAGAGTGAGGGCAGGAGGGCTCACTTTCCAACCCGGGTAATGGGAAAAAGAGAAAAAGAGGTTGCAGGCTGCAGAGGGGGGCTTGCTGCTGAGCAGTGCCGGGAGGCTGCCGGGCCTGAGATGGGCAGGGAGCAGAAAGGAGATGAGGAACAGCCTCACACGCTTTTCATGCGGCACTGCGTTAATCAGAATAAATTAGACTCTCCTGGGCAAAACTCCCACGGCTCTTTACTTCCATTTAGCCTGTATCTTAGAACTTCACCTTAAAAAATATATATTTTTTGGGCACCTGGGTGGCTCAGTTGGTTAAGCGACTGCCTTCAGCTCAGGTCATGATCCTGGAGTCCTGTGATTGAGTCCCGCATCGGGCTCCCCGCTCAGCGGGGAGTCTGCTTCTCCCTCTG